AGAGCAGCAAAGAGAAGGGAAACAACCATGGATTACAGTAAGGCGCACATTACAGTATTGTTTTATGTTAAAAAATCTGAGGGTTTAATGTCACTTTAAATGATGCCTCTTAATCCGATCTTCTTCTTTCCTGTCATTTTCATCTGTCCCTCCAGTGCTGACTCCTCTGTCCCTGCTGGCACTTCCTGTCCCATGGTGTCTGCATGCGTGCGCACGCCGTCCGTATACTTACCTTGTGTCTCTCCTCGTCTCCCGGACAAAAATCTGAACTGCGCATGCGCCCGCCCCAAGATGCTCTGCGGCCTCCCATGATTTTTCAGATTTTCAGACGGGAGCGCGCGGAGAAGACGCAGGTAAGTATTAACCTGTTTTAAAAAGTTTTTTTTTTTCTAGCAGTACATATATGCAAAAACACCTGAGGGTTCAATAACCCTTTAAGAGACCATGAACATTTAGCAGGAGGATGCCCTAGGCTCTTCTAGGTAAATGAATGACTGTGATCAGAAGCTAACGAGCTGCTGATGAAAGCCATTCAATAAAATGTGGCCACACAACCTCCTCCACCATTGACACCGATGGCCCGCTCTGTGCCTGTCATTCTTCTACGCTGCGTGCCAGCAGCAATCTGATCTCCCCTGTGTGCTCTTCCTTCCCCACTGTTCTCTTCCCCCACCTCTGGAGGGGACACAGAGGGGAGCAGACTGCACAGTGAAGAGGTTCAAGTGGGAGGCGCGGTGCCAATGGACAACAGCTAGGATTCAGGATGGTGAGAGCAGGATTGATAAAATTACCAACCCTTCACTTTCCTTAAAGAACACAGGTATGAGCAGTGCTTAGCACTCTAGTGTTCATTCATAACGGCTTTGTCACACAAAATGTGCACTACACACGTTGTAATGTATTTTACATGTGTTGGTACCCTGTGATCCACACCACACTAAGGGCCCATTCACACCAGTATCCAGTGTACCCATCGCACTCCTGACCAAATAATACCCTTAGAGACGGGTGGGTGCCAAAGTGACTGCAGATGCCTCTGCAATCCAAGATAAGTGTATGTATAAAGTCACTCGCACTCCAATAGAATTTCAAGTCAAAAACGGTTTGTTTACTTGATTGCTATATTATATAGCAGATATATCATGTGATAGCAATCGAGTCAATAAACCATTTTTGACTTGAAATTCTATGGGAGTGCGAGTGACTTTATACATACACATTCACACCAGCAGGCACATGTTAAATGTGCCTGCATAATTAATTTTATTGCAGCACACCCATGGCATTGTGGATCAGGTGCTACCACAACACAAGTGTGAAGCCATCTTCAAGATCTTTAGCATAAGTTGATGGTTTACAGTTTTGTTGTGAAAGCTGTACGTGCAAAAATGGTCTGGTCTCCTAAGGTTAAAAGTGGAGAGCAGGGCCTGGCAGCAAAATGGTTGAAGCCATTACAAGTATGGAAAAAGACCCCTTGATCTACTAGCAATGCACTTAGTCTTGTTGTAGGCTGACAACATATGGCATTTGTGTGGACTGAGTGGTATTGTCCCCCAGTGTCTTTTGCTGAATTAAGCCCGATTGTCCCCATTGGAATGTCAGTCTTTCCAGGGTCAGCTACAAAGCGGGTCAGCTACAAAGCGGGTCACCACTAGCAAGGTTGGGAGAGCATGTCAAAATTCAGCAGCTTTGTCGGGAGTGAGTGCCACAGAGGCAGCACATTACTAGTATGCTAATCCTCCTCTTAACCCCTCTTCCTCCTCCAACCTCTCCTCCCCATCCCTCTGTGTTTATGGCACCTGGACAGGCTCTGGAGTGTTGGATTTTCTTCACCCCACCACTGGCTCATCAGTCAGACCATTTTGGCCCCCTTTTGAAGAGGCGACTAAAATGGTTAGCTGCAATGAGGCAAGGACTGGGGACACAATCTCTCCAGCATTCCCCCTACAGCTCATACTGCGTGGCTTAATAGGAAAACAGTGGTACAGTAGAAAGGCATCATGGCACACTCACAAACCAGCATGTAAAACAACTTGTCTCACCACTAAGGACAATGACAGAGGTTTGGATACACGTCTTCTGCAAAGGATGTGTAAGCCGCGCCAAGGCACCTCTTATAGTGCGGTCCTAACCCTAAACTATGAGAGTCTCCATCTTGGAGCACATGGGGGCAGAAGATATCAAATTGGGTGCAGGCCTGTCAGCTTCCTGGTCTTATTGGTCCCACATTAACACATTACCGTCTATACCTTTTAAAAAAAAACTTTTCATTATTAACTATTTTTTTATATTTTTGTTTTCCCTGTTAAGGTTGTGCCTGCCCAGGACAAGCAAACGTGGGCAGAGAGGGCAATTAGGAATATAAGAAAACCACAACTGAAAGTAGTGTCTGGTTGGCGGGAGCTTACAGAGGAATGTGACCCCTGTAATCAGTTCTATGGCATAACACGTAGATCCCCTGAATTTGCTGAAGAACTGTTCCAGAACGGTTTTGGTCGCTCAAGTAAATATTCATTACAACTCTTGCCATATTTAGTGGAAGGTTCCTGGCCTCGGTGGCCCCCACAGCCACAGTTGCACCTTCCCAGCCTCCCTAGCTTTATTTTGTATACACATTTAAACATATGTACACTTTTTTTTATACTTTCTTTTTTTTTCCTTATAAGGCTCTTCCTGCTCTGGTCAAGCCAACACACGCAGGGACAGCACTCCAAGGTGGATAACAATATTGGCAGCTGAAAAGGATGCTGCAAGGAGGACTTAAATGGATTTTATAGGGCAACCTTATTTGGTGAGAGACTCATTACAATCCCCCCTCTGTCCTTGTTGGCCTTTACGTGTGAGTGTCTGAGGACAAGAGGCAAAGGGCAGCCAGCATGAACAATTAAGCATACAATCCTACTAACATAAGCAGCCCACCCTTCAGGTGCCCATACACTGCACGATTCTCGTATGAGAATCGCTGGAAATCCCGCGATCATACAAGAATCGTGCAGTGTGAATGAAGACGTGCGACCGTTTCTACTGTACGGTCGCACGTCTTTTGTCTAAGGAGCATGCTAGAAAACCAGCCGAAAATCGTAATTTGAATGATGCTCGGGAGACAAGTGTCCCGAACGGGCCGGTGTGCGCACACTGCCCGTTCAGCATTGCGGTCATCGCAAGTACGATCTGCCTGTCTAAGATGGGCAGATCGTACGTTTTTTTAATTACTTTACAACCATTGCAAGACTAAGGTCTTGCGATGGTTGTAAAGTGTATGGCCACCTTTCCTCTGAGTGAAGTCTGGAGCATGAAGTAACAGTAACAACCTTCCCATACCATTGCTGGAGTGAAAGAAATAAAATGTCTCCAAACCTCCTCCATGTCCAGCACCTGAATGCAATCTTGGCTTCATCTGCTTCTATACCAGTTGGTGAAAACAGCCCCTTTTCTCCAGCTCATTGCCTGGGTGGTGCCACATATTTCTACCCAACATCACTTTTTTTATGTTTTATTTTTTTAAAACCTAATTTATCACTTTACTTTGTTTTTAATCATTTTTAATATACTATTATTATCACTATTATATTTTTTTCTGGTCAGGGCTGTCCCTGCCCTGGTATAGCAAACATCAGCAGGAGATGGCAAGGCGGGAAAAAAAAAAAAAGGGCTAATGGGTGTTGATGATGTACCACTGGCTAGAGGTGCGGAGTCTAAGGAGCCACCTGGTATTCACCAGCACTCACAGGAGTGATGGACTCCGCTGCACTACTACTCCCAGGTTCCTCTGGTATACTAAGATTTTCTTGGTATAAAAAGAAGAAAAATTGCTGGCCAAAAAAAAGGTAAACTTCAAAAAGAAAAAGGGAAAAGACCACAGTTAATAGAACAATTAGCTAAGGTGCTTACAATTGAAGAACTAGCTATAAATAAGTTGTTTATGGACAGAGTTTTTCTTAAAAGGATTTTTGGGTGTATAGATCAGTGAAAATGGTAAGAATATGTTGGCACAATTGCATTTTCTTTCTCTTATCTCTTCCCACTGACTTTTGGCTACTTTTTCTTTCTCTGAATTCCAACATTGGGCATTTTGTGGGGAATTCCCAGCTGCTGCTTGATGTAGGCAAACGAGCGTGGCCAAATGATGTCATTTACCTTATATGGCTGCATGTCTATAGTAGGAAAACCTAATATGACAATATAAGGTCAATGACATAAGCACAAGCTTCCTGCCCCTTTGTTTATGAACAGCTTGGGGGTCAGGGAATGACCCGTTCCGCAGCTGATTCTATAGAAAGCCGACAGTACCTTCGATTTCCGGGGATATTCGAACACGGGTTCAGTCCAAACCTGAGCGCATCCCTGGTCATGTTATAGCTAGCAGTAGCTAGTTACATATAACTGGACATGTTCTGAAATGTCAAAGCACTTCTGTAGCTTATCCGATCCAGTTCTGGACTGAAGAAGCGGTTCCGATAAGCTACGGAATGTCTTCAACTTTACAGAACAAGTCCAGTTGAATGTGACTAACTACTACTGGTTTCATCTGGTGGTGATTTTTATTCTTGATCTCTTTTTTGTGTGTGTTTATTTGCAACATGTAAAGAATAATACAATCAGGGGAATTTATCAAAACTGGAGCAGACATAATCTGGAGCAGTCGCCCATAGCAACCAGTCAGCGTCTATCTTTTATTTTAAAAACAACAGAGAGAAGCTGATTGGATGCTATGGGCAACTGCTCCACATTGTGTCTGCTCTAGTTTGGATTCATTATCCCCAACCTACAATCAGTGCCTGTCAAGTTGAATTGCTAATTTGACAGCAGACTATGGAAACATAAATAAAGATTAAGAAAAGAAAAAGTCCATAGCTATAGCACGCACACAGAGTTTTCCTCCAAGGCCCAATAGCCCCGCCCATCTCCTGGCAGCTGGCGTACTCGATCACTCGGCGCACGGTGTTCTAGTGACCGTGACGTCACGTTCAGGCGGAAGGGAGCACACTGCTGGGAAGCGACGGGCGGAAGTAGGAAGTGCAGGCACCGGAGGTGGCTTAGGAGATACTCTGGGGGCTTGTATTGTGGTTGCTGTCGGGTAAACAGACATGGGGCTGTTCGGGAAGACGCAGGAGAGGCCGCCTAAAGAACTGGTGAGTGAGGCCGGGGGTGGAAGGGTCAAGTCTATAACCTCATATGTGTTACAGTGTCATATTAGCCACCCTGTGTCATGTGATGCACTACATACGAATAGGGCACAGTACACCTGCTATAGGTGGCTGTATATGTGGTGATATCCTACACTAGAAACATCAAGAGTCTGCACACTACATATCACTGTCTAGAGACCATTTTGCTGTTTATTACATAGAACCGGTCAATATCACATGGCTCCGAAAATCCCTGAGGTTTATATCCAAGAAATCATCAATGATACTTCTCCTCACACCCACCAAAGGACTATATTTGCTTTACAGCCCTTGACAGGTTTTACTGCCGCCTGGGACCCCTGTTTTGGTGACACCATTTTCACCAGGCAGGAAGAGAGAAATTCTTTAATGGCAATATAGACCGAAGTAAAAACAACCCTTTTTCTTAAGTAGGGGAAAGCTAGAACATTGGTCAGATTTTTATAGTTGTCTGCGTACCTGTTGCAGATTTTCCCTCACTTCCTGTCTGGTAAAATAGTGTCACAAGGACAGGAAGTAAGGAGGAATCTCTCTAATGGAGCCTTGGATAGGAGTAAACTGGACCCTTATTCACTCCATCACAAAGTTAAAATAATGGCTATAGATACACTTTAACGCTAAATACTGGTCACAATTTTTGATGAATTCAAGGCATTCTGTGATTGGAGGAGGTGCGGAGGAATGTCACAAACTCCCCTCCTCCAATCACACAGCTCCTTGTATTCATTGAAAGGAAAGAAAGATGTTTTCGGAGCGGATGAGCTGCATCGTGAGGAACCTGCTGTGATCTGTGTATAGTGCGGCGGGGTTATAGGTCTCATCGCTGGATCTCCAGTGCTGACTGTACTGGACCAAGGGGAATGGAAGCAAAAGTATTATATAACGCAGCAGCGGCCACACATTGCACACACTTTACACTCAAAAATCATATCCCACCAATGTATCCCTCTATATATGATGATTAATAATAACATAGACATGTCAGGTGTAAAATGCTGTGACTGTGAAATACTTACACTTGCAGAGCATTCACTTCCTGCTATGAAAGGTCAAAATGACTTCAGTTTGCCAACGCAATGCACACTGGGATTGCCTTGTCATCAGCAGAGCATTGCTGGGAAATCTCATCTGTAATCTCACAGGATCTCAGGGAAAGGCATTTTCCTACCTGAGGTGATATGCATGGTCATATGTCCTAGTCACATGTGCCAGAGTTCCAGGAGATATATTAACCTGCCCTTAGTGAACATGGCCACTGTCAGAAGCCTGGGGAAGAAAAGAGAAATAAGGTATGCAAAGAATACAAAGCCGGCAACTATCTAGAAGTATGTGTTTGTAGATTGTCATTACTAAACATTTCTAAGGCCCATTTACACCAGGGCGTTTCGGCCGCGCGGATCCACCAACATGAACGATCCCATACATTGCTATGGGGACCGTTCATGTGACCGCAAGGCTCAAGGCGACCCGAATTGCTCCCTGCGCTGTTTTTTCCACGCTGATTATTGTGATTTCCATACAGCTTTCAATGGAACCGCGCTGATCACCACGGTTTTTGGCGTTTTTAATTGCGTTTCAGTGCTGAAACGCAGTTAACTCCCAAAACCTCCCTTTTGAAATCAGCGCTTAAACCGCACTGATCCGCAAGCGCCCTGGGGTGAATGGGCTCTAAAGGTGTCTTTGTTGTCATTTTATAGATCTGGGTAACGGTCCGCTTTAATCGTCCATTATTTTTACAGTGCAAGAGGCCAACAATTATTTCAGCTTTAATGATGCTCTTCCACAATGTGTCTATGCTGGGACAACATATCCACCAAAATCTCCACAAGGACTGGCTGGAGGGATCTACAACTCTTTGTTTGCAAACAAACCCCCCCTATACAGTGTGAGGTGTTCTGGTTGGGTAGGCGGACGGTGTGATGGAGTGTTTTGTCTGCGAGTGTAGAGTGGCCTATCTCATCCAGGGTCCCTCCAGAGGATGTTAGGGGCTCTTTATGGAGCATTGGATTGATCTCCACCCTGCACTGACCCTCAGTGTACAATGTATCCATGAACAGCGGCCTTTGCTGTAAAACCACCTCCCATAATCAGCACTGCCGCTGTCTTCTTCCTGCAAATCATATTGTTGACATGTGGGCAGAGGTCCAGCTCCTGCCTCTGTGCCCACTTTGGCTGTAAGGTCTCCTAGACCTCAACATTGAGGTCACATTTATGTCCCCCCCTCTCCACCTGGCCAACTACAAAAGAAATGATCCCAGGCTCTTTTTTTCTGATTGGCCAGGAGGATAGATATCTTTAAGCTTTACGTTCTACGAGACCTACAGTGGGGAGTGGAGCCCGGAGTGGGCTGGAAGTTCTGCGGGAGCTTGACTGCGACCCGCATGTAAACAAGATGATTTGCAGGGAGAAGAAAGTGCTGATTATGGGGGACAGCAAAGGCCACTGTATGACTTGATGAAGTGTAGTGGGATTATTGTGCCTGGAGTTGGGCTTTAAAGGAGAAGTATTTGGAGAGCAAAATATATTCTTCCCAATACTTAGGGCTGATGTGGGACACTGCTGCTGTTTGACCCTGAGAGCAATCATGGCTAAAGGTGCCCATACACTGCACGATTATTGTACGATAATCGTATGCGATCGGTTTTTCGTACGATAATCGAGCAGTGTGAACGGAGACGTGCGACCGTTTCTACTGTACAGTCGCACGTCTTCTGTCGAACCAGCATGTTCGAAAACCAGCCGGGAATCGTACGATTTTCGGCTGGTTTGAACGGTGCTCGGAAGACAAATGCTGAACGGGCCGGTGTGCGCACGCGCACACTGCCCGTTCAGCATTGCGGTCATCGGAAGCCCGCCCCTCAGGGTGGCGGGTTTGCGATGATCGAGAGTGCGATCTGCCTGTCCAAGATAGGCAGATCGTACGTTTTTTTAATCCCTTTACAACCATCGCAAGACTAAGGTCTTGCGATGGTTGTACAGTGTATGGCCTCCTTTATGGTCTGTTCCTTGTAAGGAGTGGTGACTCTGTCCCCTCTGTGTTCAACCCGAGCTCACTGAAGGGACAGACGGGAGGGGGCGGGCATGGCTAACTCTGTATCTAGAGAGGCAGAGCCAGCTGTCAATCAGGCAGCCAGGTGGATCCTGGAAATATCGTTGGGATCCTTCCCGGCTCAGCTCTGTGCTGTCAGCTGATAGTGGGCCGGAGCTGACTTTGTGCCACAGGAGGACATTAGTACATTTGCTCCTGTGACCCAAAAGATATGTATTGGGAAAATAAAATATAGGTTTGACTTTACTTCTCTTTTAGTGATGGTATTTTTGTTCTGTTTGGTTTTCTTGGCATACTCTGATTGGCTATCCTGTCATTATACACAGGTGTGCACAATTCCAATGACTCCAGACATGCAGCTCCAGGCAGGGGGCAGGTGTTTTTTTTTCTTTCTACATTTAGCCCTGCTGTGGGCAAGCTGGGCTAAATGTAGAGCAGGGAAGCCGTTGCTCATTTTGTATAAGTGATCTGGGAGGCTGTATAGCCACCCTGATCACTTGTAGCAGCCTGCTTGTTCCCCCACCTCCCCGCCGTGGTTTTCTGGGGGACTTAACACCACAGTAAATGACTTCAGGATGGAGAGCGGAGAGCAGACCAGAGAATGGCCATTCCACAATCTGCTCTGTGTGATCAGTAAGACAGGAATGCTGTACTCGCAGTGTTTCCTGTCTCAGCTGTCACAAGTCGAGCTGTATAGGAGATTGAGCGCAATGCTGTGCTTGATCTTCTGAATTGGAGGGCAGGTTCCATAAAGAGAACCTGTCACCTCCAAACATTATCACATAGGGGCCTGTTGGCCCCTGCCTGATAGCAATAACATTAAGCGCTAAAGTAAAAAATAGTAAAAGAAATAAAAATTATTAGCACTCATTGAAAATTGCTTCTTAGCTCGGTTAAATATGGTTTTGTTTAAAATAATTTTTTTGTATCATGACAAGTAGATTGAGCCACGCTGTATCTGTATTATAACTGGATGTTTTTCATGATGCTGTACATTATATATCACGATGTATGTATGTAAAATGACACTTTACAGTGTGTGTCATTCTCTGTGTTGTATGTAGAGCTCTCAATCTGTAACTTTACATTGTGTGACATAGAAAGTGTAGTGTCTCTGTATTATGGTGCTGTATAGCCCATTATACTGTCTTGTAAAATGGTCCTGTACGTTGTAGAAATCACTCTGTATCTATCATGTCAACTTTAAAACTTTTTTTTTTTAGGTCAATGAATGGTCACTTAAAATTCGTAAAGAGATGCGTGTCATTGACAGGCAGATTAGAGGTAAGACAATGATTTTGTCCATAATACAAACCTGTTGCTGGTTCACTGGTCTTTCTTCCTTGGACCACGTTTGGTAGGTCCTGACCACTGCAGACCAGGAACATCCCACCAGAGCTGCAGTTTTGGGGTAGCTCTGGCCCTGTGATCTAAGTCAGAGTTGCTGATATGGCTGATCAGTTAAAGGGAGTCTGGCTCAGCATTAAGTGAAACGAATGACAAACGCACTCATCAATTCATAACCAGCTTTACAGCAAGGCACACATAGAAGGGCTTTACACAGTACAAAAAGCAAAAGTTCCCCAGCACACTCACCAGCCAGCCTGCAAAACAAATGACTGCCTAACTACTAAGGTTAAAAGCAGAGGTTTTAGTTGCACATCCTTTGCAAAATACGTGGAACCTGCACTGCCTCCTCGAGATGCGCAACTAAAACCTCTGTTTTTAACCTTAATAGTTAGGTAATGAGTTTTTTTTTTTGCTGGCTGGTGAGTGTGCTGGGAAACTTTTGCTTTTTGTACTGTATGAAGCCCTTCCATGTGCGCCTTGCTTTAAAGCTGCTTATGAATTGATGAGTGCGTTTGTCATTTGTTTCACTTGTTGGATTTGGTGTGGGGACACACTGGGGGCTTCAGCTGCCATTGTGATGTGCAGGGCTTCTGGTGTGTTCCAATGCCTTTTGAGGAGGTTGGACTACCTGTCCTTCCTTCTGGAGGGTGGCTACTTTTGTTCCCCATGGTCCCTGTGTGTGTTGTAAAGTAGTCACCGCTCCAGGCTCCCTCCCGTGATGGACTGCAATCTCATATTTAGTTTACTACAGTAAACTCCCTGTTATCTGGCATCCACGGGGATTGGTAGATTCCGGATAAATGTCGTTTCTGAGATTTGCTTGAGATTTACTATTAAAAATAGTTCTAACTAATGCCATACCCCATACTATACCATATCATAACATAACATGAACTCTCATATTAATATTGAAATGCAGTAATTATGAAGCAAATTAAGACAAATAGACACACGATCATTTCTATGATAATACATGCCGCAGATCAGCAGAACAGTGAGTACACATGGGATTTCTTTTTTATGGTTAGATGAGAGTTCTGGTTGGTTGAATACTGGATAACAGAGTTTACTGCAATTTGTCCATCACGGGAGCGAGCTTGGAGTGGTGACTACTTTTCAACACACACAGGAACCATGGGGAACAAAAGTAGTCACCCTCCAGAAGGAAGGACAGTGTCAGCACCAATTCAGAGATGATTTGAGGATCTACAGCCGAGTGATACATTAATAAGGTCCAGTATTGTTAATAGTTAAGGTACCTGAATAGATTTGTAAGATTAAACTCCTGAGTTTAGTGTCACTGTATGTACAACATTAAAGCAGAGCATGCTGGGACTAACAGACCTTTCACGGTTGCAGGCCTGCATCTTGCTCAGTCCTACTCTAATTAGTTTGCTTGCCTTTGACAATGTTATACAACGCCTCTTATAAATGACACAATTAGTCACATTGAGGTGAGCCGGTCTTGTGACCGGAGTGATGACATCATCACCTTTGTTTACACTGTAGTTATCACTCACCTTGGTACAGAGAAACCGGTTTTACTGAACTTGATGCGATGATGCAAAGATTATCTATTCATGGCACCATTCTGACACCATATTGAGAAAAGTCCAACATCTACTAAAATGTCAATCTGCACAAAGGTTACCTAGAATGATTTCATAAATCCTGCAGACTGTTTGTTTCCTGTGGAAAATGTCAAATGAATGTAACGTAGCCGAAAAAGTGCCCTAGATGACAAGAGTGTAGTGTTAGTCTTCATATCAGTCACTGTGTCCTATGGAGGGTCTTGGATCCTCGGCTAAGGCCTCCTTAGGGAGGGTGTTGACTTCTATAAGTTTAAAGCAGAACTCTGGGGAAAACATTTCTTAACCCCTGCAGTGGGTCTACCTCTGCATTGCAAGGGTTAAGTACTCATTTTTGTCTAGGTTAAAAAAAGCGCTTGTTTATAGGACAAGGAACTTTAAAATAAATGAACATTCTGCTATCCTAAAAGGATTCTGGTGTGCTGGTGACATTTCTAACTTTTGCTGATATTTGCGGCGCCATCCGCAATCACTGCGAGCACCCATTCCCCCCCCACATCGCAAGGGACTTTCTGTAAGGAGTACAGCAAGGCAAGGAAAACTATCTATTTCTCTTAGACCAGTCCCTTTCACCTTGCTTTCCCTCCGCTGCAGCGATTTGTATGTGTCTCGGTGTCCTCATATCCTATACACAGTGTGTAGAACATGATGACTCAGGGACCTTAGACCACTGCAGCGGAGGGGGAGCGAGGCTCCAAGGACTGGTCTAAGGGAAAGCAGGCTGCGAGGATCAGGTGAGTATAACTTTGTAACTTTGAACCTAGACAGAAGCGCGTATTTAACCCTTGTAGTGATGCTGCAAGGTGTCCGCCAATCAGCGCTATTGTTACCTTAAGAACTTTTTAAGCCAGATTCATTTTAAAACCCAACTCCAGATAAAACACCTTTTTTTTTTTACATTTTTTAAAGCCCACCTCCGGACAAACAAAAACAAAAAAACTACTTGTGGGGCCGGCGCTGCACTGCAAGTGTTCAGTGCTTGTTTTTGTCTAGAGGCTGGTGTAAATTAGAAGTACTTACCTGGCCGTCAGCGCTCTCCTCTTCTTCCCCTCCACTCTGGCTGGTGGAATGTCCCTCGGCGTCTTCTCATCAAATGCAGATCTGTGGAACCTGGATTAGACGTGATGACTATGGCGGTCCTTAGACTGCTGGAGCCCAGCAGAGTAGAGGCTGTGGGGACCGCTATAGCAGCCTGGAGGGAGCAAGGTATGTAAGGGCTGCTGCATGCTTGGCCAATCCCAGGATGTGCGTTCATGTATGGTTGCACACAACGTTTGCCGCGTGGCCTCAATGATTATCAGTGGGGTTACATCCACATGGCAATCGCGGAAAAAAGGTACATTTTTCAACTGGGATCGTGCACAATTGCACGGATGGAATCGCAGTGCGAAACCGTGCGAGCTGCCCGTCACGACTGGGGGGCAATTAGAAAATTCAGCAGTGGTGTGCGATTCGGTGACTGATGCCGCCCGGTCACGGATCGCCCAAGTGTGAACCTGGCCTGAATCTTCTTTACTCCAGTCCCTTAAAGGAGAACTATGGGGTCAGGGTTTTTCCCCATAGTTTTCCTTAGGGTAACGGGAGGACACAAACTAGCGTCCTCCCGTTACCCTAAGCTCAGTATACCGCGAGCTGCAGCTCGCGGCATACTGAGACGCCGCAGCCGGAGCGGATCCCGGCATCGATGTCGAGATCCGCCCAGCTGCGTGAGTTAAACCTGGCTCTGCCTATCTAGAGGCAGAGCCAGCTGTAACCACTCCCTCCCCCGTCCGATCCGCCAGTCAGCGCCGGCGGATCGGAGCGGGGAGGGGGGAATCCAGCCTCTCCCCTGTCACGGCAGAGAGCCTTGACAGGATCGAGAGGTGAGCGAACACCGGTATATGTTCACTCACCTCCCGATCTACTGAGCCGACCTGTGACAGTCTCATTGTCACAGGTCGGCTAGAACTATGAGGTGAGTGAACCTCATAGTGCACCTCATAGTTCTCCTTTTAAACCAAACAAGCATTTAACCCTTGGTGTGCAGGGGTATCCCCACTACAAGAGTAGTTTTGGTTGTTTGAATGGAGATGGGCTTTAATTTTTTTAATGAAGTGGGAAAGAGTGAGAACCTCTGCCAGGTTTTCATCTTTGTGTTCCCATTGGGGATGTTTTCTGTCCCTATTACCCCTCATGTGTCACAGGGTGACATGGTGTTACTGAGGCAGCAAGTACTGGAAAATCCTCTCAACTGTGACAGACAGCAATAAAAACCTGACAGAAGTTCTAACCCTTACTCACTGTATCCAAAATAAACATCCACATAAAGGCTTATTATAGGCTTGGGGAATTCTAAGTGAATTATATCACCCACCTAGACCTATAGAGCACTTGTTTATATGTCCCACAAGGCTGCAGTAACATTGTTAGGGCATTCTTCTTATTGCCTTAGCATTGGTCACGTGGTCTCTGCCAAAGAGGTAAGGAATGGTTCAGGCAGAGCCACTAGCTGGCTGACTGTGTTTGACCAGAGAAAAGCGTTCACAAGATAAAAATGTAACCTGTCTCTAAAACATTTTATAATGCCCGCAGAGTTGGATGAATGCTTAAAATGCTTTTGTTTTTGTTTTTGTAGCATGCTTAATGATATATGTGCTTGTGTTTTAGATATCCAGAGAGAGCAAGAGAAAGTCAAGCGCTCCATAAAGGACTCGGCAAAGAAAGGCAACAGGGAAGCATGTATTATTTTGGCCAAGGAGGTTGTGCAGTCCAAGCGGGCAGTAAATAAGCTGTATGCCTCCAAGGCCCACATGAACTCCATACTCATGAGCATGAAGAATCAGTTAGGTAAGTCCTTCTCAGGAAGGGTTAAACGGGGGGGGGGTTTACTCATTTATGGCGTATCCTTAATTATGGCTTTCTATTGTTATATAACTTACAGTGTATCTCTAGCCACTTTTTTTGCTGTCTAGTGCTTTGACTGTCCAATGAAAGAGCAGGAAGTGAGGAGAACTATCTGTTTGTGGATTTGAATAATGAGGGTTTTGGTTACAAAGGAAACTAGAAAAGAGTAGATCTGGAGTTTAAAGTGATTTTCCGCTAAGTAAGGGCTAGTTCACACCAGCCACAGTGCGGCCGGCTCACTTTGTTGTGGGGCTGGAGGGGGTGTGGCGGTGCATCTCAATGGCACCGATCAGCCGCATGAGAACGCAAGGCAAATCAATGTCGGCATTCCTGTTCGGTCAGAAAAAATGCTGCTAACACAATTTATTCTGACCGAACCTGAATGCAGACATTGATGTGCCTTGCGTTCCCATGTGGCTGATCGGTGCCATTGAGTTCAATGCACCACCACGTCCTCTCTGGCCCCACAACAAAGTGAGCCGGCCGCAATGCGATCCAGTGCGTTCGGACAGAATCGGCCCGGAACGCACTGTGGCTGGTGTGAACTAGCCCTTAATTAGCATTGATGTGCCTTGCGTTCCCGTGCAGCCGATCACATTGTGGCTGGAGGGCATGGCTACGGTGCCATTCACTTCAATGCACCGCCACGGCCCCTCCCGCCCCATAACCGCAAAGCAATCCAGTGCGTTCGGGCCAGAATGCACTGCGGCTGGTGTGAACGAGCTCTAAATCCTAGATGTTTTCTATGGAATTGATAACTCGATAATTTAATTTACTGCGATTTGATGAGCTGGCCACTTGGTTTGCAATTACACAGGCTCTTCAGATAAAGCTAATATAGAGTTTCTGCAGCACGGTCACCAAAGACCCGTGACAACAGAGATCCGAGAGCGTAACTGGCAATAGATTGGACATACCTTATACCAGGGCTGGACAAATCCCAGGAGCCAGGTCGCCAGTGCTCCTCAAAAAATACAGACAGTGCCTAACTTTGGAGGTTTTCTGTAGTTGTTAATGGAGCTGGCTCCATATTGATTGTCTACCCCCTACTTATACCTTAGGGCGCAAATGAAATCTGTAGACAGGCGCTCAGTTGCAATCCCCAAGGACAGCGCAGGAGAGGCAGACCCAGAGGCTCCTGGTGGTGAAGCCTATATGATCATATCAAGGCTGTTGACATGAACCTGACCTGGCTGCAGGTTAGATCAAAGGCTGGGAACGGTTAGCTGGGGAAGGCTCTCACTTCGGCCCTATGCTCCTCCAATGGAGCAGAATCTATAACTAAACTAACATAAACTTCAGATAATGATCCTTCGTCATAATTGAGCGCTCCCTACTATCAGTGCAAGCCTATGAGACTGATTTAAAAATTGCACACAAAGTGACCTTTGGTACAGATGGTCATCAGGTTCCTAGATCCAGAGAGAGACATTAGAACAGGGGTAGTCACACTTCCGCCCTCCAGCTGTGGGGAAACTACTAGTCTCATTATGCATCTGCCTGGAGGTCATGTCTGTGGCTGTCAGAGTATTGCAGTACAATATGGGATTTGTTGTTCTACAAACGCTGGAGGGATGCAGTTTGGGTGCTCCTGCACTAGAGGGAAAAAGATCATCAAAATACAGAACAGCAAGACATAAAAATGTTTTTAAAAAAGCATGAGGCGTTACAATAGCCTCTCTGGAGGTACTTGCTATGAGTACATCATTGTGTCCCTTTTCTTAGTGATTTTCCTGTGTTTCAGCCGTCCTCAAAGTCTCTGGAGCCCTACAAAGGAGCACAGAGGTGATGAAAGCCATGCAGAACTTGGTGAAAATCCCCGAGATCCAGGCCACCATGAGAGAACTGTCCAAGGAGATGCTGAAGGTAAGAACATCAGAAAATGAGGGACTCCATTATTCAATTGGTTGTGTATAGTATTCTTTTCATGGGTTAATTTTATATTTATTTTTTTACCACTGATGCACACAAATATCCAGTAGGAAATAGTGACTGCGGCGCAAATTAAATGAAGGTGTAAGTGCAGCCTTGGTTGTGGTTATATCGGAGCACCAGCTGCCTGTATGGGACAAACCATGATTATGCAGGAGGACCACTTTGTGTCTTGTCTCTATGCTTCCCTTTGCCATATCCACTGTACCCTCCGCTTTGTATGCTGGTTGTCCATGTTCAGTTTTATTTCCTGTACACAGCTGTTATGTCAATTATCACTAGCACCCGTTTCTTTATTTCTCCTTATGCCTACAAAGAGCTGTCAGAATGTTTACCTGATAAAATAAACACTTTTCTATTTATGAAAACAAGCAAGGATCTGTAATTAAAGGAGAACTATGGGGTCAGTTCTTTTCCCCATAGTTGTCCTCAGGGTCACTAGCGTCCTCCCGCCACCCAAAGCTCAGTTTACTGTGAGCTACAGCTGAGATATATACTGAGTATACTGAGACCGTCGCAGCTGGGACGGATACCGACATTACTGTCGAGATCCACCCAGCTGCGTGATTGACATGCCCCTCCCCCGTCCGTTCTGCCAGTCAGCGCTCGAGGATTGGAGGGGGGAATCCCTGCGGGGATTGACAGTCACGGCTCTCTGCAGGGACAGCATCGAGAAGTGAGCGAGCGACTGTATGTGTTCGCTCACTTCCCGATCTATTGAGCCGACCTGTGACAGTTTCATTGTCACACGTCGGCTCGAACTATGAGAGTGATTTTCACTCACCTCATACTTCTCCTTTTAAGGAGATTCCCAACTTTTTTCCACAAATCAACAAAATAACTTGAGTTTGTTTATTTGCGCTAACCTGAAGACAAAATGAGTACAATAAGGTGCAAAAATATATATATATATATTAACTAAAAATCAGTGCAGAATAATAATCAATATATAACTGGTGATAAACAAGAACATATGGATCGAAATTTCTATAATATTGATCAACGCAGATGATGAGAAAAATAAAACCACAGGATATTCTTTTAAATATTAATTAAACAAAACAAAGTAACTCCTGGAATGTAATTAGTAGCTTCTCATTAGCTTAGCAGAATATAATAACATAGTATGCGGATTTGACACGTGACCTCTCACAGCCAACAGATATTCACCAGCCTGGTTTTCTACTGCGCATGCACTAACTTGTTATACCGTGCACAGGACTGGCTAGTAGCCAAAAAAAAAAAATCTATTTAAGGTAAAGACAAACTTCCACTAAGTTATTTTATTTTTAAATATACATTACACACAAACCATTGACTAGAAACTGAAATCGTGTGTGTGTCCCAAGATTGAAAAAGAGAGTATTCTTACTGCAGCTAGAATTATTTCAATTCAATCTCGATACTAGCAAGGACCAAATGGTCTAGTCCCTTGGTTCTCAACTGGTGGGTCACAACCCCATGTTCAGTGGGTCACTGCATGACTGCACTGCATCACTTTTCTGGGAGAGAGGCTCATCAGCCTCCCACTATCCCCCTAGTGTTGCCAGCTTGAGGTGGGGTGGGATGGGGCTATGGACATAAGGGAGCTCCATTCATACGTGCATTGCTTACAGCTCCCTCACATAGCCTGTAGAGATGCCTGGACTGGAGTGACGTCATATTCTGACTCCCAGCACCTCTACAGGGCATGCATGGGAGCTGTACAGGCAATGCACATATGGATGGAGTTCATTCACAGCACAGCAACGCACGCTGCACCCCATGCCTACGATCCACTCCAGTTCTCGTACGATAGGGAGACTGGAATCTTAAAAAAAAACAACATTTCTTTTTTTGGGGGGAATGTGTGAGATTGTGGATGTGTGTCTGTCAGTCTTTTTGAGGGCCCATTCACACTAATACAGTGCGTTAATCACACAGTCCAGTGCGATTAACGCATCTTACCACCAATGGTACCCCAAACGCACCACCCACAGTTCAATCGTCCGCCCCAGAATGCATGCTCCGCTATGCCATGCATTCTAGTGCGGTGCGACTTGGGTCATGACTTAATGACCCAGGACAAATGTGGGTCCTGAGGTTACACAGGTTGAGAACCACTGGTCTAGTCGGATATATATGGCTAGTCAATTGCCTACTTTTTATTTAAAATTCCAATATTATTCCTTAAGTTAACCAGGGTGTCAGCAAACTACGTCAATCTTAAAGTCCTTCACTGATAACATAACAACACTATACCCAACCTAATTATTTGTACTTAAAACATAAACACACCAAACTGATAAATGCCATATTAATAATACTATTGAAATTATTGCTAATACACATTCTTTCAATAATAATTGTATCTAAGGCAACTTTTATAATGCGCTTTTTTTTAAATTGTAGTCATGAAGAAAAAAAAACATTTCTTCTATTGTCCTTTTGTTAGACAAAACATGTGATTCTAACACAGTCTAGCTCAAGGCCAGTCCTTATCTTGTAGGCTGATACTCCCCACAATTCACCACCTGGGAATGTGGCTCCATGGCTAGTCCTTATCTTGTTGTTGGCTGATACCCCCACAATTCACCACCTGGGAACATGTGGGATATGGCTCCAAGAAACATGCTGATGTTGGAGCTTTTGTCCAGAAATCATATAAGATCTGCTATAATAACAGACAGTACAAAATGGCTTCCATGATGCCCAGTTTACAATGTGTAGAATAACATGTATAGGCCTCATTGTTTTATTCTTCTAGCCTCAATAGTTCTGACAGAGCTCACATATTTCATTTAAATGTGACCTACTATGTTATTTTTTTTTCTTTTGTGACCAGAAATCCTGGAATCCTTGATGCCTGTATCAATATTGGCATAGGCCGGTTACCTTGACAACTACAAGTTAACTGACAGATGTGACAGTTTTTTTTTTTCTTTTTTTATAAATGAAAATAGAAAAAAGTTTTGATTTTGAGGTTTTTTTTTCTACTATAATAGTATGTTACCATTACAGTATTAAACAACGACACACTGCTATATTCACATTGTGATTCTCAGTGGTTACCAGCCTTACAGAGCCCCAAATAGCTGATCACGTACAGTGTACGTGAGCAGTCATTTGGGAACTCCGTGGTGGGACGTACAGTGTACGTCTCCCGTCACGAAGGGGTTAAAGTATGTCTCCAACATCAGGTTCACAAGATGACAGGGTGGCACACGAGCACACAGGGTGGTAAAAGTAATGGCACTGCCTGGGAAGAGTTTATATCATACAGTTGTAATCAGAATGATTCAACCCCCATTGCAAATCAGGTTTATTGGCAACATTTACAGACTTTCAGCTTTTTGCAATAAACAAATCACACAAAAGCAATTGAAATAGGTCAGCACAATGGATGTTTCAAATGGTTCCCCAAATTCAACTGATAATGCAACTTTTAATGACTTCTGCAGTCTCAAAATTATTCATCCCCTTTATGGCAGCCATGTTTAGTACTTGGTAAGTCACCATATTGCTGCTGCAAACAAGATGCTGAGCCAGACACCAGCTTCTGGCAGCCTTCCCGAGGAATCTTAGCCCATTCCTCCTGACAGATGGCCTCCAGTTCACTAATATTCTTGGGGATGCATGCAGCAACCTCCTTCTCCAAATCCCACCAGAGATTTTCTATGGGGTCAGTCAGGTGACTGTGATGGCCACTGTAGAATCTTCCAGGACTTCTTCTGCAACTAAGCCTTGGTGGAATTTGAGCAATGCTTGGGATTAGGGTTGCACAGATACCAAGTACAGTACTCAGTACAAGTACGAGTACATGTACCGATACTTTTGAGCTCCAAGACTACACTAGAGAAAAATTCAAAAGTTAGGAGGCAGCTGTCATTTGTAAGGAGCACACGGAGCTCCTGGGATTTGTACATCTCTGTTTTATTGTACGATTTTGTTTTTATAAATATAAATAAAGGGATGCACAGATACCAGTTTTGCGAGTACGAGTACTGATACATTTTTGTTTATCGTCATGTGACAGTTTTTCTAAAACAATACAGACTAATGGTTTCAGGACAGTGGTGGAGCGCCAGAGCCCTGTCCCAGCGGCAACCGCTGCAACCCTGGTAGTTCTCGTGAAAATGCCAAGTATCGGCACTGGTACTCAAAGTATCTGTGCATCCCTACTTGGGATCATTGTCCTGTTGGAAGGTCCAGTGACACCCAAGCTTCATCTTCCTCACAGACAACGTGACGTTTTCTCCTAGGACGTCTGCAAAACTCAGAGAGAACAACTTTTCTTTCAGAATTGAGCATGTCTTGTGCAAGCAGCAATTAAAAAATACATGAAGCTTATACTATGTAAACAAGAATATGTAAGAGATATAAAATAGGTGTTACCCCAATTGGAAATACATTTTCATTGCTTGCCTTTGATTTAAAAATCAGGACCACATGGCACCCTACTTTTCTATTAGATTTGAGTTCACCAGACAGAAAATTTCCTTGCGGAGGCTGGACACATCCCAGGGCAGTGAATCTACCTAGAAAACAGCAGCTAGTGCTTATGGTTTTCAATTCTTTTCTTCAGCTTCCAACAAATCCTCCCCCAAAATTGCCTGCTGACCCCCAGATTTTACAATATTCTCTCCTTGTTCCTCCTACTTTCTGTTATTTAACCTAGAGTATTTAGTTTAGCTGACATCGGTGTGACTTAGGCCTCATTCCCACGGACGGGCACAGATGCACAGCGTGTATGTCGGTGCAGAAACACCAGGAGGGACAGGTGCTGCGTATAGCCATGTGTAGGATGTGTCTGCACGCCGACTTGAACTGGCACATCCGTACAGGTATGGGCAGCAGACTGTCTGCTTCCAAGGACGTGCACCATACCTGTTCAGGTTGGCTTGCTTGCGTCCTATTCAGCTGAACAGGCGGCTGCAAGCAGGCTTCTGTACCGACCTGCATGCTGTATGGCTGTGCAAGTCCATGTGAATGAGGCCTTAGCATGAATGTTTCTGTATAATAATAATAGGGATTGCAGTGAGCATTGTTAATCGCTGTATTCTTCTTGCTTTAGGCGGGGATTATAGAAGAAATGCTGGAGGACACGTTTGAAGGAATGGAGGACCAGGATGAGATGGAGGAAGCAGCAGAGATGGAGATTGATAAGATCCTGTTTGAAATCACAGCAGGTAATTGCTAGTGACAATAGTACATTATATAGATGAAGATGATATCCATAGAGAGCGCCAAGCCGGTGTCATGCAGGGAAGAAGAAAAGTGTAAAAATGTAGATTACTGCAGACTGGAGTTCTGCTTTAACCCCTTCATGACTGAGGCCTTTTTTTCTGTTTTTTGCACACGTTACAATCCACATTTTAGGCCTGAAAATGACTTCAAACCCCCAAACATGATATATTTTCTGAAAGCCAAGACCCTGTAGAATAACATGTCGGCAGTTGCGAATTTTTATGTTGCACGATATTAGTGCAACTTATTATCAAACTCCAAAATTTTGTAAAAAATGCACTCAAGTGCCCCAAAACACAACAAAAAATACCAATTTTTGTTATAAAATATTAAACATGAGGTTAGAGCGAGTAAATAGATATTCAACATGCCCAGGTTAAAAATTGTGTGTGTCCGTGAAACTGCAACAGAATTTAGTACCCCAAATAGTCCATAGACGCTTTAAAATCCCCGACAGGTCCTCAGTTTAGAAATATGAATAAATATTGGCAATTATATTGGCAATTGTCATTTCAGTACGTAGGCGCACCCGACGCATGTTTACGCGAAGACGAGCATGCTCGTGGGGGATTTAAAAAAATGTGTACAATTATTTTTACATTTGTTTTATTATTATTATTTTTAAAAACTGATTGTTTTTTTTTTCCTCACTTTTATTTGCTATCACATAGGGGGGCTTACAAATGCTAGCATATTGGTGGTGACAGGTTCTCTTTCAGGTGATACTGGGGGTCCAAAAGACCCCTAGTATCACCTTTCCTCTCCAAATAAGCTATTGCAGTGCAGATCGCACTTCACTAGCTTATTGCTGGGCTGCAGGAGCCCAGCAATGACAGCTCAGGGACAGGAAGTTATGTAATCTGTGTCGCTCCCGGTCCCATAGTGCGGGGAGGAGATCGGTTAACGGGCGTTCGCCGCTCTCCTCCTCAGCTTCCCACCTACACCGGGGGGAATGACAGTTCACCGGCCCGTAGAAGCGATCTGGTGACAACTGAGCCGCCAGAATCACTTCTATTGTAAAGCTGACAGTCGGCTTTACAGATGTAAACATAGTCCCGGGGTCTAAAACCGCTGGGAGTCTGTTTTTAAGCGGGCCCGCTGTCAGTGATGTACTATGCACGTCACTGGTCGTGAAGGGGTTAAAGTGTATGTATACCGTCACAATGAACTTTTCTTATGTGGTCCTTTTTGGTTCCGCTCTAAAGATAGAAATTGCGTTGCCTGTTGGGCTTGATGAAAGATAACATATGATTTAAATATAACTCTTTTTATGTTTTTAGGTGCCCTGGGCAAAGCTCCCAGCAAAGTCACAGATGCCTTACCGGAGCCGGAGCCAGAGCTGGAGGGTGCCACCGCTGCATCTGACGAAGAGGAGGATCTGGAAGCTATGCAATCGCGACTGGCTGCCCTTCGCAGCTAATGGTGCACTGCGCGGTTTCTCCAGTACCGAGAGACTTCTTTTCCTCCTATATGTAACTTTCTTTTGTGAAAGTATTTTGGGGTAATATATCTATCTCTGGCTTATTAAAGGTGGCATAATCCTTGTGCTGACTCCTCCCCCTGGTGCCGGTGCTCACACCTTGCTTGAGAAGCATGCCGAAGGGTGAAGACGTGGACATCTTTCTGTGCCCATAATGCACTTGGCCCTCCCTCTGCTGATGGACCTTGCTCCTAAGGGGAACTAGCCAATCCAATGCTGCCTTTTACCTGCTGAGCAAGGTCAGTGGATTTGATGGACAATGGACAAAGAGAGGAGTCTGCATAAATCATAAATTTCATTTTACTCTATGGAAAAAATTATTTATTACCAACGTCTTTTTGCATTGGCTGCGTCAGTCGCAGCGTATTCTTCCTCCAACACGTGGCCTGGTTCACCGTTATAATAAACAATTGACGTACGTTTGATCCATGTAACTTACCATACAGATATTGTACTGTTTATCACTCATTCATCTGCCTAACTGTTAAGATCCATTTTCATTGACAGCGCACCTGTTAACGGCGAAGAAGCGACCACGTCGCGGTTTGGGCATTAGACCGCCAGTTAATGACATTTGCTTTCAGGTAAATATTCTTGATGCCCGCACTGGGTAAAAGGGCCAGTCCACCCAAATTAATATTCTGGTTATGGGAGGATGCTGGTGGGAAGAATTGGCCACTGGCTTCTCGGAGACTTCACCTTTCCCCAGCCGTGATTTAGGGCTCGGCTTATAGGGGAGATTTTTCTATCGTTTGCAATTGCGAGATTTAACCCTTGGCTGACAGTCGCTCAGGCAGTTGTCAACTAGCGAATAAAGGAGAACTATGAGGTGAGTGAAAATCGCTCATCCTCATAGTTGGAGCCGACCTGTGACAATGAAACTGTCACACGTCGGCTCAATAGATCGGGAAGTGAGCAAACGCATGCCGTCGCTCGCTCACTTCTCGATCATGTTCCTGTCAGTCACGGCTCCCTGCAGGAATTCCCTCATCCACTCTCCGATCCTCCAGCGCTGACTGGCGGAACAGACGGGGCGGGTACAACTGGCTCTGCCTCTACATAGGCAGAGCCAGCTGTCACTCACGCAGCTGGGTGGATCTCGACAGTATTGACGGGATCCATCCCGGCTGCAGCGGTCTCAGTATACCGCGAGCTGTGGCTAGCTATATACTGAGCTTTGGGTCACGGAAGCACGCTGGTTTATGTCCTCCCGTGAACCTTAAGAGAACTATGGGGGAAAGATTTACCCCATAGTTCTCTTTTAAATCTTGTGTGATTACCATCTTCCAGGTAGTTGAGCCCTATGATGGTCATACACGTACCAATGTTTCAAACAATTGGCCGTACAACCCAGTTTTTGTAAATCGTTCAAGTGACTGTTCGGTGCAACACAAATTATAAGATTGTGTGCATCAATCCCAGTGTTTCATTGCTAAGACTTGTTCCAAAAGTAAAACACAAATGATCTGTATGGACTTTATAGACGCTAGGGCTATATAGGGCTGTCTGATCTTGGACTACAGAATGGTGCATTGCGGTCACATGATCTAGTTCTTTAGACACCTGTTAACGGCGAAGAAGCGACCACGTCGCGGTTTGGGCATTAGACCGCCAGTTAATGACATTTGCTTTCAGGTAAATATTCTTGATGCCCGCACTGGGTAAAAGGGCCAGTCCACCCAAATTAATATTCTGGTTATGGGAGGATGCTGGTGGGAAGAATTGGCCACTGGCTTCTCGGAGACTTCACCTTTCCCCAGCCGTGATTTAGGGCTCGGCTTATAGGGGAGATTTTTCTATCGTTTGCAATTGCGAGATTTAACCCTTGGCTGACAGTCGCTCAGGCAGTTGTCAACTAGCGAATAAAGGAGAACTATGAGGTGAGTGAAAATCGCTCATCCTCATAGTTGGAGCCGACCTGTGACAATGAAACTGTCACACGTCGGCTCAATAGATCGGGAAGTGAGCAAACGCATGCCGTCGCTCGCTCACTTCTCGATCATGTTCCTGTCAGTCACGGCTCCCTGCAGGAATTCCCTCATCCACTCTCCGATCCTCCAGCGCTGACTGGCGGAACAGACGGGGCGGGTACAACTGGCTCTGCCTCTACATAGGCAGAGCCAGCTGTCACTCACGCAGCTGGGTGGATCTCGACAGTATTGACGGGATCCATCCCGGCTGCAGCGGTCTCAGTATACCGCGAGCTGTGGCTAGCTATATACTGAGCTTTGGGTCACGGAAGCACGCTGGTTTATGTCCTCCCGTGAACCTTAAGAGAACTATGGGGGAAAGATTTACCCCATAGTTCTCTTTTAAATCTTGTGTGATTACCATCTTCCAGGTAGTTGAGCCCTATGATGGTCATACACGTACCAATGTTTCAAACAATTGGCCGTACAACCCAGTTTTTGTAAATCGTTCAAGTGACTGTTCGGTGCAACACAAATTATAAGATTGTGTGCATCAATCCCAGTGTTTCATTGCTAAGACTTGTTCCAAAAGTAAAACACAAATGATCTGTATGGACTTTATAGACGCTAGGGCTATATAGGGCTGTCTGATCTTGGACTACAGAATGGTGCATTGCGGTCACATGATCTAGTTCTTTAGAGACGCACATCAATGATTTTGGCGTTAGCACCATCCAGTCCTGCCTAATCCCTCCTAGCCCAGGCTGAACCCACCCAGCACTGTCCACTTTCTCTAGAGCATGTGTTGTGTTTCTCACTATATAGAGAGAGAGTGCTAGGGATGATGGGAAGTATAGTTTTATAAGTCATTTATTTTATGTGTCGTTCACATCCTTCGATCTCAGGCAGCGCAAGCTGTAAAGTGTAGAACTCTTGTATTGAAGGTGAGCAGAATATTTATTATTATTATTATATTGATTTCTAGCACAGAATGCTGAGCTGGTATGTGTGAAATATGACGCACAGACATGGAGACCTTACTACTTCAAAATTGGTCAAAAAGCATTTGTATGGTTGGGAATAAAACTCGATAATTGCTAGCTTGGATCAGAGTATCACCATGATTGTTCTGGTATTGGTACATGTGTGGCAGGCATTATTTCGCCTCCTCCCCATCTATTCTTCCTAAGGATTGCAACCATTTTATAGCAGCTAAAGAAACACGATCAATAAACTGAGCGTGGCTTATTCATCCAGCAGATTTCAATGTGCATTTTTATCTGTGCAAATGAATCGGCTGTTGTGAGAATGGCGCAAAAAACAAATGTTCCTAATGTCATTTCTCTTCTGGCGGAATGTTCTTTAAAGGAGAACTATGAGGTGAGTGAAAATCACTCAGCCTTATAGTTCTAGCCGACCTGTGACAATGAGACTGTCACAGATCGGGAAGTGAGTGAACACATACTGTCGCTCGCTTACTTCTCGATCTATCCGTGCAGAGATCCGTGACTATCGCTCACGGCTCCCCGCAGGGATTCCCCCCTCCCCTGTGCGATCCTCCAGCGCTGACTGGCGGAACGGACGGGGGAGGGGGCGGGTACATCTGTCTCGGTCTCTAGATAGGCAGAGCCAGCTGTCAATCACACAGCTGAGTGGATCCAGACAGTAATGTCAGTATCCGTCCCAACTGCGGCGTCTCAGTATATCGCTAGCTGCAGCTCGCGGTATACCGAGCTTTGGGTGATGGGAGGACGCTAGTTTATGTCCTCCCGTTACCCTTAGGAGAACTATGGGGAAAAGCCCTGACCCCATAGTTCTCCTTTTAATAGTTCTATTTATAAATAACAGAGTGAAAGGGGAAACTACCGCATTATGGCCACTAGATGGAGCTGAGGATCTCAGGAGACAAATACAGTTGTAATCATAGTTATTTAACCCCTCATTGCAAATCAGGTTTATTGGCAAATATTACAAACTTTCAGCTGTTTGCAGTGAACAAATCAAAGAAAAGCAATTGAAATAGGTCACAACTAATGTTTCAAGTGGTTTCCCCAAATTCAACTGAAAATGCAACTTTTAATGACTTCTGTAGTCTCAAAATTATTCAACCCCCTCTTGGCACCCATCTTTAGTACTTAGTAGAGCGCCCTTTTTCTGCAAACAAGATGCATAGCCAGACACCAGCTTCTAGCAGCGTTCCTGAGGAATCTTAGCCCATTCCTCATGACAGATGGCCTCCAGTTCACTAATATTCTTGGGTTTGCGTGCTGCGACCTCCTTCTTCAAATCCCACCAGAGATTTTCTATGGAGTTCAAGTCAGGTGACTATGATGAGCTCTTTAGAATCTTCTGCAACCAAGCCTATGTGTAATTTGAGGGATGCTTGGGATCATTGTAAGGAGATACAATGTTACAATCCTAAAGACCGCTGGAGAGAACGAGCATGTCAGTGTAACCATTGTGACTATGGGGATACCAATGGTTACATTTATATGAATGCATGTACATGCCCTTTCACTGGATGAATAAGCTATGCATTTTCTTATAAATAGTAGACCCCTTATTGTATTTCTTCGAAAAGAACTTCAGTCTGTGGGATGTCTGTATTACAGCGGCTCTGTTGTCTTGCCAGCTTCAGAAGCGAATCCTGTTCTCCAATGCAGCTGATGGGGATTGCGGTCCACCAGTGCAGCACTGTTCAGTATTGTAGCCACTTACAGAAGCAACTCAGTATCTAGTTATACATCGCAGAGAATATAAGCCACCACATATCTCTGCTACAAAGTTGTTGCTGGGACATGGCTGACGGGAAGTGTGGGGTCCCTTGTGATGGCAGCTAAGGATAGGAGGTTGGGTCAAAACAATTCAACACCAGAGTGCTGGGGAGATATAAAAAGCCAACGGCTATTCCACCACAAGCATCCGCTCATAACCACCATCAATGTTGGTTGGATTGGCACTTTCATAGCCCGAACGTCCGTAACGCTGGCACAGGCTATGAAGGTGACAGAACTTTGGGTGTCATTCCTCTAATAGGCCCATAAATCCTTTACAGTGGAACCAGTCCAATCCATAAACAATTCCCCTTTATTATCCGCAATGGAGCTTGTATAGATGCACGAGGACAGTGGGGATGTCACTCCAAGAAACCAGGTAAATGTCATTTTCCCAGCTAGCCAGTGAAATAAATGATCTGATTTTTGATACGAGTTTCACATTTCTGTTTATTTCCGGGGAACCCATCAAGATAAAAATCTAGACACGGCCATTGCTGACTTGTGTTTGGAGGTCCGTACGCCCTCTTTCCTTCTCTGTTTGGTAACGCAGACACCAGGAGCGAGCATGTTCATATGAGGAGTCAGGATGCTTGATGTACACAATGATTGTGACTCAGTGAGCAGAGAAGCAAGAATAATAGGGCGGTCTTAGACCATGCACCTCCAAAAACAAGTCG